ATCATTGAGCAGTACTTTCTAAGTTGCCGAAATAGATAAGAACTGCAGCTGTGTACGTTGTTGAAGAAGACGATCCTGTCCCTCCACCAAGCATCAAACAAGCACTTGATGCAGCGAAACTATTAAAAAAATACTTTTTATATAATCAAATTGATCCAGCAGTATCTCAAGATATGAGTAAGATACGTAACAAAATACAATTAAAATATTGGAGCAGCAAAAAACATCAGACGAAGATAACAGGCTATACGCAATGTATGAATAATAATGTTCGTGTGCAAAATGTGTACTATATTGGTAAATGCATATTATTATAGAATAGTAAAATAATATTTTTTATTTCTCTCCATTTAACGACCACTCTTTATAACGCCGAAAAATGTTCAGTACCTTAAGTGTCGTTATATAGAGTTTACACTGTATTTAAGGGGTCCAGTTAACGTTGACTAAATTTACTCACCGATTTCTTTATCCCCTTGACGTGTTTTCCACTTCGCGGTCTCCTTTGTCGTTGCATCCATCGTTCCAGTTGCAAGAAACAAAATATCTCCATGCCGACTACGAACATAATTCTTCGTTCTACCTGCTATGCCTGTGCCACCATGTCCCTCCATCATCCCCTACCTACACACATACACATTCCATTTCGTTTCGTGTCGTGTTCACCTCTGGTGCAGCCATTAGCAATAAATCGCGTCCATGATCTTTTGTACCGCGATCCATGGACCGTAACGTACATCTCAATCTTCGGTACATAATTAAAGGTTAGACCAACAACTCCTTTTTCTGGTGAATGTGTCTTTACGAGCACATACATACACATACGTATTATGGGTCTGGGTATGGGCATGGCCATCCATCTACTGTCTTTCTTTTTACCATTCCGTTCGGTTTTTTTTTTACTTTTGCGGGTTCTCGTTGATTCAATCTTTAATGGTGGTTGCTTAAGATAAATGGAGCGGTTTTCTATGAGTCGACGGGCTAAATTATGAAGTTCTTTGTCCGACCCTCTAATAATGATACCATCAAGAATTCATCACCTTCTTATTCGCCGTTTGGTTTTTGTAGGGTTGTAAGTACTTCAGTTAAGATATAGGGGATCATCCAGGTGTGCCTGAAGAAGAAAGAATTGATGTAATAATGCACCACATAACTGTTAGGTATACAATTTTTATACAAATGAATGAATAGTTTGCTACAGAGTTTTCTTGCTATTGTAGGTACTCATTTGTAAATAGAAACTGTGTCACATTTGTGAGGGCTACAAAACTAACGAGAAATTCTCTAACCCCTCTTGAACAATTATTATAGTAAGTAGGTATATAAAGATCGTCCTGAAGGAATTAATCGGAACAATAATACAAAATTTACAAAAACTTAGGTGACTTAATTCACTAGAACAATTCGAAATTAAAATTCATAACAGGAACATTTACTTGTAACCAACGGTCAGAGTGATACTATCTAAATGTTTTCGATTTCCACGAATCTTCCAGGTAAAAGAATGTAGATGGTAATATCTGTATTTTTACTAACAGATATACTATTGAAAAAAGCACACCATGTCGAAATATACATAGTACATAGGTTATGGTCACATGGTTAGAGTTTACATTTAACTTTTACACCTTTAGTGGAAGATTTAATTTTTTATTGTTTAATTTAATTCTTTCATTGTCATATAATTTGTATAACTGTGACTTAATTCGGGCTAATAATGTAGTTTACATCGCAGTAAAAATATGAAAACACTAAACCAATAATGAAATTTTAATTCTTGGCTTGAAACGAGCCTATAAAGTTTATAACCACTAAAAGTTAGCAAGGTGATAAAATTATACTAATAACTTATCGTCAATCGAAACTTGATGTAGGTACTAACAAGCGACAAAAATTGTAACAGAGTTCGGTCATGCTTCACGAAAAAAAGGAAACATAAGAATTGTATCGAAATAACAAAGAATTTAGTTCACTTAGTATGCAATAAATAACACAAATTAGGACAAACGGCCTATTCCAATACAAACAATTACCAATGTTCATTATGTAGTTTTTTTATTATAGGTACATATTAAATTGTTATTGTTGGTGTTAAGGGTAAGGTTTTTGGAAAAATGCCACTTTTTTCTCAAATATATAGTAAGTAGATACATAAAGATCGTTATGAAGGAATTAATCGGAACAATAATACAAAATTTACATAAACTTAAGTGACTTAATTCACTAGAACAATTCGAAATTAAAATTCATAACAGGAACATTTACTTGTAACCAACGGTCAGAGTGATACTATCTAAATGTTTTCGATTTCCACGAATCTGCCAGGTAAAAGAATGTAGATGATAACATCTGTATTTTTACTAACAGATATACTATTGAAAAATGCACACTATGTCGAAATATACATAGTACATAGGTTATAGTCAGATAGCTAGAGTTTACATTTAACTTTTACACCTTTAGTGGAAGATTTAAAATTCTTTCATTGTTATATAATTTGTATTACTGTGACTTAATTCAGGCTAATAATGTAGTTTACATCGCAGTAAAAATATGGATACAGTCAAGTTCAATTAGATCGTTTCAGTTTCAACAATTACATACATAAATGTAGAATCTATGCCTATCCAGTTAGGTTTTGGAAAAATGCAAATTTTTCTAAGCCAGGAGCATTATTATGTAACATTTTTTTTAAATAAATTCATGTTTACCCAAGATTATTTGAAGCACTACTTGCCGAATTTGTACCGACGCGACGTTAACATTCTCGTAATTAAAATTAAGGAATCGTTCGTTGCGTTATAATTACAGGTATACAGGGTGTAACAGGAATAAGTGCCGAACTTGCAGGAGATGATAGAGTACTATAAAACATGAAAATTAAGTACTTAGATGTTTGTATGCTCGAAAGATCACCGTTTTCGAGGAAAATGTAGTTGAAAGTACAGATAAATTCAGTTCTTAAATAGACATACAACAGCATAAAAGAATGGTCTTGATATGTTTAAAAATTTATCAACTATTACTCTTTATTTACGTTTTCTAATGTTTAAAAATTAACTTGTAGTGGTATACTCTGTAATTACAAGAGTGAATGCATTAATGATTCAAAATGTTAAATGGGTTAGAAGTTAACATGTTACAGTAAATCGCCATTACCTTGGTTGTCTATTTAAATTAAATGTAATAGTTCTCCTCAAGGTATAATTAAAATTAATTCTGCTGATTATAATCTAAACTAAAGGCACAATTTAATTTGTATGGATGTTAGCCATTAAAGTACCAGCGTGGGAAAATACAATCACATAAGGAAACAAGGGCATTTTCATAAAACTGTAAATATTTGAGTAAGAATAAGTAAAGTACATTGTAGCATTCTAAATTTTCGTACTTTGGGTACTGGTTATGATTTTGTTTTTATGGAAAGTGCCTGGATCCTAAGCCTTGTTCATGAAAATTGAGGAGTTTATCATGTTGGGCTTCGATTTTAGAAGACGTGCTATTTCGTTAGCTTAAAACAATTTCTAATTGCTTATAATAAATACAATTGTTTTAACCAATAAACATAGTAATAGAGTAGCCTAGAAGCCTAGATCATTCCTGCTAACCTTCTCTTCACGACCGGTCAGTCCCATCAAAATTTATGTAGCCGTTTCGAAGATTAGCGCGTATGGACAAATATTTTTTTTTTGTTATTTGTGAGTTAATAGTATATGATTTTATAAAAAGTTATTTTGATGTTACAGACAGGCCCTTGAATTTTATTTATATGTAGATATTGTACAGAAGTATAGATTGTCATCTAAATTTGTAATGTTATCCTATAGAGTGGCATTAACCAAAGATTCGAAACATTTGAAACTGTACCTTTAATTTTTATATTAATATTTTTTCAAATAATTCCTAAAAATTAATTTTTGGGCTGCGTGTCTTTGAGAAAAAGCAAATTTCTAAAATAATGGTAACTGAATCCAGGAATTTCATTTTTTCTGGTAACAACCAAAATTTCAGAAACAAAAATTTTATAATTTTCAATCGAAAATATTTTATACATATGTCGGATATTATTTGTAAAAATCTTAAAGGATTTCCATACATATGTTTTGACAGCGAGTTACCATACCAGTAACAATTGGATAAATAATATTTTCTGTCGACATTGTGTATTCTGTAGCGGTCACGAGTCTTTTCTAGGAAGGTATCATGATCAATAAATTAAGCATATATTATAAATATAGGTCAATTTGCAATATCTTTGCTTTACGATTTCTTCCGTCTTAAGGGACTTTACTTAACGCGCATGGCGTATTACTTTCCCTCGGTTCAAGCGAAAATGCCCATTTTTAAACAAATTCGGTAAATTGTTCTTTTTAATTAATAATAAAGTGCAAACATAAATATTAAAGTTTTAATAAATAGAATAAAATAAAGTGTTCGTTGAAATAAAATAAATTTTGAGTTTTCTTTTTATAAAAAACTACCAAAGGTTTAAAATTGTAACTAATGTCGATAACTTTATAGAAAGAAATATGTTTAAATATTGGTGTCTGTTAGAAAAATTTGAGTTACGAGCAAATATTCATCATTTTTTTTTTTTTATTAAAAAAGGAATAATTTCTATACAACCGAAATTTAAATTATGCACTATATCGGTCAATTATTTATTATTTATTGATGTAGGCGTGAAATGTTTATTGATTCTGTCCATCACTAACTAATGTGAATCTAATTACATACTTTTATTCTGCAGCAAAGAGAAACGCATTCCTTTTTTATTATTCTTTAATAATTGTCAATTATAATATTGAACTGTCCTTGTATGTTACAATTTCAGTTTTATTTAGAGGATTTTAACCTTGTTTGACATTGTTTTGAGATGCGAGCAAATATTCTCTATTATTATTGTAGCTGTTGTTTGCTTAGTTAGAAATTCAGGAAAAACGATGCGGCGGTCGAGCGAGATCGACGTTGATCGGAATAAAAACTAACAATAAGCTTGTGACTGTGCAGATTAATATTGCAGTCATAAAAGTATTATAACGTTATTGTTTAGTGCATATAATGTGAACGTAGTTTATTGTATATTACACAGGAAATGGATTCGGGAGACAATTGACAATAAGAAGGTAAGAAACTAGATAATTATTGAACTGATTTTACCGATGATCACAATCTTTTTAAATTTATCTATGTACAGATATTAATTTATTGTAGTACGTATAAACGGATAATATTAAATTGGTTATAACCTCACCTCTTATGTAGCATATGCAATTGGTATCATGCAAATTGATTATAATGATTCTGTTGTTAGGTAATTATGAAACATATTATTATAAGGTAAAGAAATAAAATAAATAAATTACTTTGTATGTTTCCAATAGTTTAATAGGTACAAAACTCCACAATGTTGTTTTGATAACAGTATTTATTAATGTACCGAGTATTTATTATATATTATTGCTTTTTTGAAAAAGGCAACTAAAAACAAAAACAAACTATGGAATTGTGTATTAAACTATCGGAAAAAATAAATAAGCAATTTATTTATTTTATTTATTTGATGTAGATCGAGTTCAACAAGAAAATATCTTTAGAAAATTAGGTATTTTGTCAACCATTACGAGTTGAAGTAGAATTATCAATTAACAGCGAAAATTTCATAGATGACGACTTATTTACAGTCTCCTTTGTTTTATTAACCCCTTCTTCATGTATTTGTTTTAGTAGGTACATAAATAGCAATCTTATTAATTACACGAATACTATTATTTCATTATATACTTTCATTGCATTATTCGAACAATTGAGCCACACGGCGATTGTATATTCGGCCGATTTAAGGGGTTTTTGTTAATTATAGTGGTAAATTCGAGGAAATCAAAAAAAATAAGATAAAATAACTGTCTTAATAGTACTAGATTATAAAAAAATGTATTTCACTCAAGTAAGGTTGTTTATGGTAAAATGTGTGGTAGTTTTAGAATAAGAAATTTGACGAATTTTTAATATAAATTGCTACTTGAACTGAAATCAAACTCTGAACTATACAGTTGTACAGAGTTTGATTTCAAATAATAAAAAAGGGAAAGGTTTGAAATAAATTGGAATTATTAAAATTTTACTAATCTTGTATAATTATTGTATTCCCTAGAAAAGCACTAAAGAAAAGAAAATTAAAAATTGTTACTCTCAAAATCTGATCCACCGGGCACTTTTCGCTCTTTTGCGAAAAAATATGCTAGAAACTTGATATAGGTACCAACAAGCGACATTTGTAACAGTAATTCAGCCATACTAACGTATTCTTGTTCACTAGAAAAGGTTAGCACTATACTGAAATAACAAATAATGTACTTTAGTAGCTAATCAACAAATGATACAAATTAGGACAATATACAATTACAATATAATTTGAATTACCAATTTTCATCAGGTAGGTTTTATGTTAATTATTAAATAATTATTGCTGGTGATGTTTTTTTCTTTTTTTCTCTGGAAGAATTACCCGGCAGTGTTCAGTGAGTGAGTGCTATTTGCGAACGTATCATTTGCGAACAAATGAGATTTACTGCCACTTGCGAACAGCAATAAGTAGCCTTGGGTTGATCTGGAAATTATAGTTTCATTTGCAAACAGACAGAAGTTATTTAGCCTCTGTTATATAGGGGTTTCATCTATTCGGAGTATATCTTTAGTATAGGTTTCCTTTTGCTGTTTCGATAATTTCCATTTTCGAAAAATGTAACGTTAAGCCGTAGTTGTTCTTTTTCTACGATTTTATAAATTAATTATTTATTTATTTCTTCATCTAAACAATATTAAAAACTCAGATAAAAACATCTTAAAAAATCTTCAAAAATAACGTTCTAAAATATTTTTCATTTTCACTTGTAGTATTTAGCGTCTTTTTTTACAACTGTTTATTAATAGTTTCGCCAAATTACATTTTGCTGATGTATCTAGATCAATTAGTTATTCACATTTCTTTGTGCAGAATTAATAACCTTTTTCACACGCCCAATATTCTTAATTCCATTTCCTAGAAGAACGCGACAAATACATAAGCTCGTGCGAAGCGAAGAGAATATACATAGTAAAAAAAGTCAATATTCGTGGGAAAACGTTGCCTTGTATAGAGCTTGTGTAATTTACGTAGTAATTTCGGTTCGAATGCAGTCGACGAGTATCACTTAAAGGACAGGATGATATCAATAACGAGACTAAATATTCAATGGGGCAATCAGAGCACCACTTGTACGGAATATAGTCCATTTCGCCCGGCGGTAGTGGCCCATTTCCATTCTCGGGAAAAGTCGATTCGCTATCGTTGCAAAAGCAGCTCGTTCACCACGTGTACGCTTTCTATCTACGTACGCGATACTTTTACGTGTGTATGTTAGTATATTGCATAATATAAAAATAAGATTTTCTTATATTCTACTACCCTTGCATTACTACTTTTCGTCTTTTCGATATTGAACTTTCTGCATGAATCATATTTTAAATCGACACTTTGATGACGTGCGATCTAACTTCGAGTGGTAATGGTATGCTCTTTAAGATGGATTTGAAATAAGTTGCATGTTCCGAACAAATGATGAGGTGATAGCGATCTGTTTTGACCCATTCTCATTTCAAAAATGGCATAAGTAATACTTCACAATACCAAAATTGGCAAAGTCTGCAATAATTTATCTGTGAGAATGGATGTATCTAATTTCTTGTTTTCACCTGGGATTGTAGTCATTTGGTGCGTTTTCAACGCGCCTTTGTTTAGTTAGGAAATGGCTCATGAGTGGTACAGATAAAGTGAGAAGAGATAACCGAATAATACTAAGTGGTGCAGCAGTTAGAGGTTTCTTAGGTTTTTACACAAAAAATCAGGGTCGGCTTTATAACTGCCTGGTTGGAATTACATCTTTACACAAACGTCCTTGCTTTCCTAAATTCCTGAGAATGCTAAACTTTCTTTAAAGTCCGATGCTGTTAACATGCTGAAATTCTGCTTGTCTGCATCTCTTTCTGTTACACATTAGTCGGTGTAATGCTATTTCTTTTTCTTTACTAGTGTCTGTGAATAGAAAAGGTTAGTGATGAAGAGGTATTAGAAATAATAGAACAGAGGATTCTATAGAACTCAATAAGAAATAGGCGAGATAGGTTAATAGGACACCTTTCCAGGCATGAGGGGCTAGTCAAAGATATATTAGAGGCAGAAACGGAAGTTAGGGGGGTAGAAGTAGACCTAGATTGGATTACTGTTCGCAAATAGTTAAAGATATGGGTTGTTCTAGTTTTAGGTTAGGTTTTAGGGAAATGCGAAGATTAGCTCAGGATAGGAAGGAGTGGAGGTACGTGTCCAACCAGTCTTAGGACTGACGACCTTATGACGATGATTAGTGTCCCCTATAATTCGTACCTGACATCTCTTTTCCGTGTCCTTATAACGTCTGTCATGAGTAAAAGTAGACTTTCTGTCACCAACTGCTCTAGTCTATTTAGTTTTGAATGTCTGAACTAGTTTTTTATCCGAGATTTATAATACATTTCGTAGATATACACGTGGACTTTTGAAAATATCATACATATAAATATAGGCCGGAAAGAATTTCTTGACTAAAGATTTTCTGTTAATACTGATCGTAAAACATAATCAAAGTGGCTTTCTATTGGCGCTTCCAAAACCAATAAAAATTTTTTTCATCACCACCATAATTCCCTATTATGTTAACAATCGTCAGTTATCTACTACAAAAAATAATGTTCATTACCGTTATATATTTTGCAGCCCACAAAATGGTTTTGCTATTTGCTAGCATGAGATAGTACCTACCGTCGGGCGCACACAGTTTTCTACACCGTGATGTTTAATAAAAAACGTATTTATAATACAAAACTTACCAAGTAATAGTAGTTTTACGTCTGTAATTTGTATCTGATTTATTATATACTTACGTACAGTGGCAACATCGTCCTGGAGAAAAGACAAACTGCTGCTTCTTAAGAATATACATATATAAATCTTTTAAGTAGATATAAAATTTTTATTGTCAATAAAAACCACATTATCTTATTTAAAATTCAATAAAACCTTGTATTTTAATTTAGATGTCACTGAAAATGTTGATTATTGTACAATCGATCAAAATGTAATTATTTAAAAAAATAAAGCAAGGAAACATCAACTATACAAAAATCACAAAACACTTTTTTGTCACTTTTAGATTTGCAAACTTCGTTATTATTACATCTTTTATATTTATTCGATCAACAATTTCGTGCTCAATTGTCAAAATGATCAAACCATTAAGATGATTTTTTACAGTAGTCGAACTTAAAAAATTCTTAATTAATTTTAAATTTTAATTTTTCTATTAATTGAGTATTTAACACATCAATATTTTCGACGCTCCGGACAATTGTATAGGTTACCCGCTTCCGAAGCGGACGCTGATCCGTAGAGTTTACTGAATGTAAAATATTTAGTAAATCCGGCCTTTGCAATGACTCGTCGGGCGTAATTAATTAAAAGAATATTCGTGAACACATCATGCTGTGCTTATTCTAGTCACCCCTTGGCAACTGCCGAGACCCATTCTCGTTTAATGAAGGCATCAATCTGGGTTTTAATTTTCCCCGTGACGGAATTTAAGGAAGAACAAACAACGGGACGCCCAAGAAAGGGGTTGTACCGTCCATCCATAAATTACCGTCGAGATTAAAAGCAAAAATATCCACCGAGAGCTCTGTATCGTTTGCGTTCGTTGGAAGAACAAAGACGACATATAACTAACGAGGAAAAGATTACAGTAGGCTGCGTAAAATGTCATTTCTAAAAGAAACGGAGAAGAACGTCGTAGTAGGTCGTGATAAATGTTTTTGCTCCTTATTACGTACTTTTTTGTGACTTTTATCATTAACAGGAATTTTTTTTATTTTATATTTTTAGTAGGGAGACCTAGGAGTTTCTGATCTTTATTTTGGGGAATATCTACTATTTAAAAGGAACAGAAGTAATAACCTAAAAATGTTTCATTAATTGTTTGCATTAAACATCTCTCTTGTAATGTCGATAATGATTCGATAGTCATTTATCTTATTGTTAGCCAGTGGCCCACGACCT